TCTTTCGGTAAAGTCACGTAGAAGGGAAATAATAAAATAAACTAAACATAATAAAATAATATAATATTACCATTTTATTATGTTTTATTTGTATTATTTGTATTATTTCCCTTCTACGTGACTTTACCGAAAGAACCAAGATGATTTGGTTGAGTAGTTTCATAGTCAGGGTGGCAAGCCTGGATGCCCATCATTGTGAGGGTGCCTCACGTCTGGCCCGGTCCACGTTGCATGTCGCCCCCCTCTTGATATTCCCACTGAATGGATTCTGGGTTCTTGAAAGACGAAAACAAACTAATTCTAGATTTGAAGCTTTCGTGACTGCAATGATTCATACTCTTAGGTTTTTTCGGTGAAGTCACGTCGGTAAAAAAATAAAAATTAATACAAATAATATTTATTTTTTTTCTATTATTATTTTTTTACCTACGCGACTTTACCGAAAAAACCTAAGAGTACGAAAACAAACCACCGAGGAGCTGAGTTTCACCGCGGACCCTAGCACTCAAATCTGCGAGCCACACGCTGAGATTCACCGCGCACCCTAGCCCAGAAAACTGTCTGAAGCAAAGTTTCACCGCGGTCCCTAGCACTCAAATCCGCGAGCCACACGTTGAGATTCACCGCGCACCCTAGCCCGCAAAACTGTCTGAAGCTGCGTTTCACCGCGGACTCCTTAAAATTCAACTCGGCGAGTCGGACCTCTGATATTCACCGCGGACCCCTTTACCATTGAACTTGGTGAGTCGGCCTCTGATATTCACCGCGGAGCTCTTACCATTGAACTCCGTGAGTCGGACCTCTGATATTCACCGCGGACCCCTTTACCATTGAACTCGGTGAGTCGGCCTCTGATATTCACCGCGGACCCCTTTACCATTAAACTCGGCGAGTCGGACCTCTGATATTCACCGCGGACCCCTTGCAATTCAACTCGGTGAGTCGACCTCTGATATTCACCGCGGACTCTGGGGCTGGAATCTGCCGCGCGGGAGTGAAACTGCGGGGCCGCGTTGCGAGCGACGACGGCGAAGAGACGAAGAGGAGGCGACGAGGAGGAGGAGGAGGCAGGAGGAGGAGGGGGCCACAGGTATGGCGACTGGGTGCGTTGGGAATCGCGACCTCGTTCGTTTCCTCCGTTGCCGCGATGTTCAACTGAGGGAGCCTCGCCTCGCGTGTGCGCTTGTGTGGCACAATCATCACCACCCATCATCACAACCAACATCATCATCACCAGCACCACCCATCATCACAATCATCATCACCAGGACCATCACTTTCATCACCACCCATCATCACAACCACCATCATCACTATCATCACTACTATCAGCACCATCACTTTCATCACCATCATCACCACCACAATCAACACCATCATCAATACCATCACCACCACCATCATCACTTTCACCACCACCACCATCATCACTTTCATCACCACCACCATCATCACTTTCATCACCACCACCATCATCACTTTCACCACCATCATTATCATCACTTTCACCACCACCATGATCATCATCACTTTCATCACCACCATCATCATCACTTTCACCACCATCATCATCACTTTCACCACCACCATCATCACTTTCACCAACACCATCTTTATCATCATCACCACCACCATTATCATGACTACCATCACCACCATCGTCATCATCACTATAACCACCACCACCACTACCATCATCACCACCATCATCACCACCATCACCACCACAATCACCATCACAATCACCACCACCACCATCACTTTCACCATCACCAACACCACCATCGTCATCATCACTATAACCACCATCATCACTACCATCACTACCATCACCACCACCATCATCAGTACCATCACCACCATCATCAGTACCATCACCATCATCAGTACCATCACCACCATCATCACTATCATCACAACCACCATCATCACCACCATCATCACTACCATCACCACCACAATCACCACCATCATCACTATCATCACCACCACCATCATCACTTTCACCACCAACACCATCACTACCAACACCATCACTACCATCACCACCACCATCATCATCACTACCACCACCATCATCACTTTCATCACCATCATCCCTATCATCACCACCACCATCATCACTATCACCACCACCACCATCATCACTTTCACCACCAATACCATCATTATCATCACCACCATTATCATGACTACCATCACCACCATCGTCATCATCACCATCATCACTACCATCACCACCACCATCATCATCACTACCATCACCACCACCACCATCATCATCACTACCATTGCCACCACCATCACTATCATCACTATCATCAGTACCATCACCATGACCACTATCAGTACTATCACCACCATCAGTGCCATCACCACCATCAGTGCCATCACCACCATCAGTTCCATCACCACCATCATCACTACCATCATCACTACCATCATCACTACCATCATCACTACCATCACCACTATCATCACTGCCATCATCACCATCACTACCATCACCCACCACCATCATATTATCACTATCACCACCACCACCATATTCATCACTACCATCACCACCACCATCACTACCATTACCATCACCTCCACCATCACTACCATTACCACGACCACCATCATCACCATCATCACCACCATTACCATCATCATCATATCACCACCACCATCATCACTATCATCGCCACCATCATCACTATCACCACGACCACCATCACTACCATTACCACCACCACCACCATCATCATCACCACCATTACCATCATCATTACCATCATCATCACCACCATTACCATCATCATTACCATCATCATCACCACTATTACCATCATCATTACCATCATCATCACCACTATTACCACGATCATCACCTTCACCATTACCACCATCACAACCAAAATCCTCACCATCACCACCACCACCATTACCACCATCGTTGCAACCATCATCATCGCCACCACCATCGTCACCACCATCGCCACCACCATCGTCACCACCATTACCATCATCACCATTACCACCATCACCATTACCACCATCACCACCATTACCATCATCACCACCATTACCATCATCACCATCATCACCACCATAATTGCAACCACCACCATCATCACTATTATCACCACCATCATCACTATTATCACCACCATCATCACTATCATCAACACCACCATCATCACTATCATCACCACCACCATCATCACTATCATCACCACCACCATCACCACTATCACCACCATCATCACTATCACCACCATCATCATCACTAGCATTACCCCCATCTTCATCACTACCATTAACACCATCTTCATCACTACCATTTCCACCATCTTCATCACTACTATTACCACCATCATCACTACCATCACCACGATCGTCATCGCTATCATCACCACCACCACCACCATCATCACAATTATCACCACCATCATCATCACTATCACCACCACCATCATCACTATTACCACCACAACCATCATCACTATCACCACCATCATCACTATCACCACCACCACCATCATCATCACTATCATCATCATCACTATCACCACCACCATCATCACTATCACCACCACCATCATCACTATCACCACCATCATCACTATCACCATCATCACTCACCACCACTACCACCATCATCACTATCACCACCACCACCACCATCATCATCATCATCACCACCATCATCACCACCATCATCATCACTACCATCATTACCACCACCACCATCATCACCACCATTACCATCATCATCATATCACCACCACCATCATCACTATCATCATCGCCACCATCATCACTATCACCACAACCACTATCACTACCATTACCATCATCATTATCACCACCATTACCATCATCATTACCATCATCACCACTATTACCACGATCATCACCTTCACCATTACCACCATCACAACCACTATTATCACCACCACCATGATTGTGACCATCATCACAACAATCCTCACCATCACCACCACCACCACCATTACCACCATCGTTGCAACCATCATCATCGCCACCACCATCGTCACCACCATCGCCACCACCATTGTCACCACCATTACCACCATCATCATCACCACCATAATTGCAACCACCACCATCATCACTATCATCACCACCACTATCATCACTATCATCACCACCACCACCATCTTCATCACTACCATTAACACCATCTTCATCACTACCATTACCACCATCATCATCACTATCATTACCACCATCATCATCACTATCATCACCACGACCATCATCACTATCATCACCACCACCATCATCACTATCATCATCATCGCTATCATCACCACCATCATCATTACAATTATCACCACCATCATCATCACTATCACCACCACCACCATCATCACTATCACCACCACCACCACCATCATCACTATCACCCCCACCACCACCATCATCACTATCACCACCACCACCATCATCACTATCACCACCACCACCATCATCACTATCACCCCCACCACCATCATCATCACTATCACCACCATCATCATCACTATCACCATCATCACTATCACCATCATCATCACTATCACCATCATCATCACTATCACCACCATCATCACTATCACCACCACATCATTACTATCACCACCACCATCATCACTATCACCACCACCACCATCATCACTATCACCACCACCACCATCATCACTATCACCCCCACCACCATCATCATCACTATCACCACCATCATGATCACTATCACCATCATCACTATCACCATCATCATCATTACTATCACCACCACCATCATCACTATCACCACCACCACCATCATCACTATCATCACCACCACCACCATGATCACTATCATCATCATCATCATAACTATCATCACCGTGTGGCTGTGTGTGGTGATCGCCCCGTGTGGCTTGTAGGTTGTGTGTGATTGCCGCGTGTGGTTACATGTGGACATTTGAACCCCACACCCTCCCCAGGTGCTGCAGGTCCTCGAGACACCCGCTGAGATGTCAGGGTTGGAGTTGCAGGCGCACGGCGCCCTCATCAAGTGCGAGGAGGAGGTGGAGCAGCAGCAGCAGCAGGAACAGCAAGAGGAGGAGGCGGGGACGCTCATTTGCCAGTGGCTGGGAAGCCCCGGGGTGCACCCACCCCTCACGGGGGCTTTCGCTAGTGGGTGACTCCCCTCCCTGCACTCAGACTCATCTCTTTACAGCCGCTACTGCTTTTTGCTGATGTGTTTAGTTTTGAATAATGGATATCCATCACCTCCCCCCACCCCCTCCGGTATTGGGCACCTGATTGGCTCACAAGTGACGGCATCACATTTACTCCGTCTGATTTCTCCAAAACTGTGGCCGTCGCCTGATGAGGCCGAGTTGTAATTACCGCAAAAACGTCACGGTACTCGAATTGTAAATGTTTTAGTGGGTTTACTCCTGAACACACCGGTGTACTGAACTAGTAATGAATTAGCACGTTTTGTTTACGTGACGAGCCTTACTCATTGGCTGTGGCGGGTTTCGCGACGCATTTACGTGATCTAACACAAAAACCTCTTATGAATACTATTGGTTGCGAAAGCCTACGGGTTCAACTGTGTTTAGTTGGTTGTCCCCTCCCCCCCCGCCCACCTCCAATTAGCATGGTTGGCTACATTCGGTGCCAAGGAAGTTCAACATAAAACTACAAACTATTTTTATCTTACCAGGTAAAGCTCACTGAGCTATACAGCTTGTTTTCAGAAGCGACCATCCCACATCTGATAGCTCGACGAAGGGGCTTATCTCACGTGGAAATGTATAGCAGCCAAATACTCTAAACGCACGTTTCTAAATGTGGAGGGAAAAACCGAAAGACCCAGAGAAAAATCCATGGGGAGAGAGAGAGACATGCAAATTCCGAATATACAGGCATCAGGATCGGGATCGTACCCACGATCTCTTGTATACCAGGTGAGGGAGTTAACATCTCGTGGCCATTGCGTCCCTAGCTTTCACACACGTACAAATCATGTCTCCGCTGCTTTTAACCTCCCTCTTAACATTTATGAGTCACACCACGAGGTCTCCGCACCAAACTTGCACCACTAGGATCCACTACGCAAGTCCGGCCATTAGAGTTGCGATAACTTGGGATCCAGTCCACGTGAAGCTCAACTCCCACATCCGCTTCTGGCCGAGCGTCTCCCCTGGGTTCCCTTCCCAGTAACCACGCGTGACATCGCCTCTGTCTCTGGAGGGTTTCCCCGCTTCGCACTGCTCTAGAATTATATTTCCAGGCAGTGTTTTTGAAGGGGGAAACCAGAGGTTTGCGATCTGCTTTGCGCCGGAAGTATTTTTGTCGCTCGTTTTTAAAATATTACAAAACTCCCAAAACCCAAATTGCCATGACGCAGAGCCTGCGACAGAGGTCGCAACCGGGTACCCGATACCCGTACCCTACCCGATACCCGGCTACCCGTACCCGGCCGGGTACGGGTAGCCGTTTGCGACCCTGGTGCGGCCGGGTACGGGTAAGGAATCAAAACCCGTTTGCGACCTCTGGCCTGCGACTCCCTCAGTGCTGTGAGGCCCAGACCCCTTTACGGTCTGTTGGCGCTTGGTGGAACTTCACTTTCATAGCAGCGTCTCACCGAGAGGAGTGATCTAGGTTTGTGTGACTCCCGCAAACAGCGCCACACTGTGTCCCAGCACCATAGTGTATGGAGGCGTTTGTCTGTGTCTTAGTGTACGTTTGGCAGTACGCATGCCCACCCACCACATGCCCCCAAACAGCTTTTGTTCGACCGGATAGAAGGGTCTAAACGGGCGCGGCACGGGCTAGAGAAAAGCTGAAGTGATGTGGTACGAGAGAATATGAAGCTGAGTGGACTTTCCAATATCTGGTACCAGCGGTGTCAAGGTATCAGCCTCTGTGAAGAGGCTCGTGAAGAATGCTCCTGGGAAATTGTAGCCAGACGCCCTTCAGCAACAGCGGAGTGCAGAGGAGCGACACAACGATCGAATTGTCAGGCGGCTAAAACACAGCAAGTTAGCACAGTAGGGAGCACAGGTGGTGCATCCACTTATCTCAGTCAACCCATGGCACATGGGTCTATCCTGTGACCTGTCAGCGGGCGTTCAACACTTCACGTGGACTTAAAGTGCACATAGCCTGACACAAGTGCCGTGGTAACATCGCCGCCACTTAGTGGCAAATGGCGGCTGCTATGTGCATGTGTGTGTGGTAGTGTGGGATGTGTGTTATTGTGGTAGTGCAGCATTTAGTGAGCTGCGCTATGAACCTGGCCACCTAGGTTCAATTCCTGCCCACGGTCAACATCGGTGACAATTATCTGAACTGGACCTGGGTCTCGCCTAGGTCGACTCAGCCTCAAATAAGTACCTGGTGAAGTGTGTAAATATTGGCACTTGAAAGGCAAAGGCAGACGGCCATGGGACTCCCCACCAACTCCCTCGTGTGCCGTGCCGGCCTTCATAAGTGCTTGCTAACAGCACTCAATCCTGTAATCTATTAAGGCTATACGGGTGGTCTTTGTCGTCGTTCATGTGTATTTGCACGCTTGTATTAGTGTGTGTGGGCATGTGTGTTAATGCGTGTTAGTGCGCACGTGTTGGTGTACGTGAGGTTTGTGTTTGCGTGCGTCGGGCAGTTGTGGAGAGAGTGGAGAAGTTTCTGTACCTGGGCAGTGTGCTTTGGTGATGTGGTGATGTCACCATCCGATGTAACATCGTTACAACTGTGTGATCCACAGTACGAGATCCGCAGGATTTGAAAGTTGCCCTGATGGTCCCCATTTAAATAAAAAACGGGGAATGCACTGATTGCAACAACTTCTGGGGCATCTTTCTCTTCATTGTGTCGGGAAAGGATTATTCAACATCGCCTTGCCATACATGCAGAGGAGTGGGGCGCTGCGGTGGCGATATGTTAACTACCTTGCCAGGTATGCAGGAGGTCGTGGGTTCGATCCCGGCCCGAACCCCTGCTGTAGTTTCCATGTTCTACCCGTGGACATGTGGATTTTTCTCTGGGTCCTCCGGTTATACCCTTCACATTTAGAAACATGCGTTCAGAGTATTTGACTGCGAGAAATTTCCACACGATGAGCCACTTTGTTGAGATGTCATTTGTGGCCAGGTGACTTCTGCTGCATAGCTTAGTGGGCTTTACCTGGTTAAAAAAATATATTTTGACAATCATCCCAATCAGACCTCCCATGGCACCTGGTTCTGTCCCTGTCACCTGTCAGCCTTCGACACTCCACATGGCCTCGGAGTACACCTGGTCTGGCACGGCACGGGCGCCGTGGTGACATCACCACCACTTCGTGGTGAATTGGTGGCTGTTGTGTGTACGCGTGTCTGGTAGTGCAAGTGTGGTCGTGTGCATGAGTGTTTTTCTTTTGTGTTCGTGGACAGTGGTGGTGCGGTGGTTTGCCTGCTGTGCCATGGACCCAGTGACCCGAGTTAAATTCCCACTCGCAGCCAAAACAGTAGTCCCTCAGTTAACAGTGACATCGGTTCATGGTTTTTCAGTTAACGTTTGGCCTCCCATAGGACCCTGTGGTTTTGACTAACGTTAACATTTTGATTAACGGTATGTTTACATTATGTACGCGGGCGCCAATTTTGGCCAATCTGAGTGCTCGTAAGGGGGCTGGGCCATGCCCTCAGCCAATTAGTGATGCCCATCTCTGAGACTTTAGACCTTGACTAGCTTTTTTTGCATTTCATCTTCAGTTTTTGCAGTGGAAACAGCTCTCTTGTGCAGACTCAATGATTTTGACTTATTTTTCAACTTACAAGGTAATTTGATTGACAGTTATTTTGGTGAACAGTAGTTTTTACGGAAAGGATTGAAAACGTTAACCGAGGGACTTCTGTGCCAGAGGTGCTTATCAAAACCAATAATGGGCCTCCCATAAGTCGATTCAGCCATGAAGGAGACGAAGGCGGCCGGCAGTGGCACTGTCCACACCACCCACACGTGTGCCATGCTGGCCTTCATAGGTGCTGCAACACTTGCCCCAACAGTCTCTGTGGGTTAATGGGTGGAATCTTTGTTTTTATGGTTCTGCCAGATCTGGGCGGAGACGACATCCATGCCACCACTTCCAGCGATGCCATAGAGGCCTTGCCAGACGCTCGCGGGAGCTGGGAGTGCACTGAGGAGGCGGTGAAGATGGAGAACATGAGCCAGGGTGGGTCCCCTCCTCCTCCTCTCCCTCCCGTCTCACTGCTTCCATGTGCATCACCGAACGTCCAGAAAACCACAGCTTACCCAAGGGGTATCCCCAAACGTTATTGCGAAGTTGTTGGTTGGCATTAGCCCCCCGTTTATAAATCTACAGTTCCCCATGGTCGCACCGTGAAGTTGGTCTCATGTGGCTTGTGACTACGCCAGAACGGAAGTAAACCAGGAAACACCACCGCCGAAGGGTAAAGTTAATAGAGCGATCGACACGTGGCACGGCCACCGGCTTGGGCGGGCTGGTACAAGGCCTTGCCTGGGATTGGCAAGCGAGAGACCCCAAGAAGAGACTTGGGAAGGAGCTCTGTGATACCGTCTCCTTTCATGCCTTGTTCTGAGGCTCTCCTGGCTGTCTGAGTTCATTTTCGTGGCAGTTCCAATGGCGCAATACAGACAAAATCATCACCACCACCATGATCACCATCACTACCTTTACTACCATCACCACTGTCACTATCACCACCATTACCACCAACAACAACCGCCAATTTCCACTAAGTGGCGGTGATGTCACCGCAGTGCTTTAAAGCTACATGAGGAGTTGAGGGGGTTGAGTGTTTCATGACACAATACCCAGGCAGGTGCTTAATGGTAAGGCCCCACCTCTTAGTAGAACACTGCAGGTCTCCTGGCCATAGACGCCTGTCCTCACGGGGCCTCCGGCACAAGCTTAGTTCGGTGAGTGGCAATTCAATTGAAGGTGGAGAGGTTACCAGCCCCTCGCACCCATCCAGAGCCCCTCTTAGCTGCTGTGGTGGCCACCGTCCGGTACCACCGAGGAGGTAGGGGGTTGTTTCTTTGCCAGACACCATCATCCACCCTAACCAATCCACCATTACCACCAATACAGGTAGAGTCCTAACGGAGCGTTTATGATTCGCAGTGGCGGCTCTGCGGCGCCCCGGTGACGAGGACGGGGGCTACTCGTGCCCCATCTGCTTCGAGGAGTTCCTCACCGAGCGCTCGATCCAGACCCACATGAGGAAGCACACGCGGCCGCCGCCGCCCGTGCGCATCCGCCGGGGCGAGCGAACCCACATCTGTACCACGTGCGGCAAGGGCTTCATGCAGTCGTCCAACCTCAAGATCCACGAGCGCACGCACACGGGCGAGAAGCCCTACAAGTGTACGACATGCGGCAGCGCCTTCACCCAGTCCAAGGACCTCAAGCTGCACGAGCTGATCCACACGGGTGAGAAGCCGCATGAGTGCGCCACGTGCGGCAAGGCGTTCCGCAGCATGTCGCACCTCAAGAGCCACGAGCTGATCCACACCGGCGAGAAGCCCTACGTGTGCTTCGTGTGCGGCGGCGCCTTCACGCAGTCCAGCAACCTGCGCAAGCACCAGCGCATGCACACGGGTGAGAAGCCGCACGTGTGCGCCACGTGCGGAAAGGCGTTCAAGCAGACGTCGTACCTCAAGATCCACGAGCGCATCCACACGGGCGAGAAGCCCTACGTGTGCTCCGTGTGCGGCAGCGCCTTCATCCAGCCCAACGACCTCAAGTTCCACGAGATGATCCACACGGGCGAGCGGCCGCACGAGTGCCCGACGTGCGGCAAGACGTTCCGCAAGCACTCGCACCTGCGCAGTCACGAGATGATCCACACGGGCGAGAAGCCCTACGTGTGCTCCGTGTGCGGCAGCTCCTTCATCCAGGCCAGCGACCTCAAGAAGCACCACCGCATGCACACGGGCGAGCGGCCGCACGAATGCACCACGTGCGGCAAGGGCTTCCGCAAGGTGTCCTACCTCAAGGTGCACGAGCGCACACACACTGGCGAGAAGCCCTTCAAGTGCGAGGCGTGCGGCAGCGCCTTCATCCAGGCCAACGACCTCAAGGTCCACGAGATGATCCACACGGGCGAGCGGCCGCACGGCTGCACCGCGTGCGGCAAGACGTTCCGCAAGCTGTCGTGCCTAAAGAGCCACGAACGCACGCACACCGGTGAGAAGCCCTTCAAGTGCACCATGTGCAAGAAGGCCTTCATCCAGGCCAGCAGCCTGAGGAAGCACGAGAAGGTGCACGCCAATGACTAGACGCTGCGGCCTGGGTGTCGGCCGGGCTGAGACTACCAAGATCGGCTTCCCAGGACCGGGATTAGCCCCCGGCGGCTGCAGACATTTGTGACCTCACCTTGGCCCATTTCCAGACCTGGGTGAGGTTATGACCATCGGCAAGATACGTGGCGAGAGCAAGTATTGATCTTGTCAACTAGTATTTTTAATCATTCTGGCTCCTTGCTGGCATAGATCAGCCATCTAAGGCGCCATTACATTGAACACACAGAATGCTAAATCTGTGTTTTTTTTATTATAGCGTAAAAGCAAGAACACAATTCCTAATTGAATTTCCCCATCACCTTAACCATCATCCTCTTCACCACAATAAGAAAGTGGAATTAAATGACTGAAGATCATGATCAGAAAATAGAAAGCAATTGCACAGAAGTAGAACAGAAGTGACCATGAAATAGCGATCATGATGAAGAACGTCCTGGTCAAGAACCCGTGAGTGAGGATAGGGGGAGGTAGGCAGTGAGGAACGTCGTGAGCCCAATGGCATGGAAAAGTTGAAGCTTCGCTGCCTCTTGTGCCATGACCTCTAACACCCACGAGTGTCTCCCGAGGTGACAGGAGCCGCAAAGTTAATTGTTTGCACCAACGTAGAGTTTCCATTGCGTAGCATCACCTGTGGTGGAGCTGTTGTATTGAGATAGAGAATATCCATTGAACGTTGCAATCGTGAACAAACTTATTCTAGATTTCGGATTAGTTCGGTCGTGCGTGTGAACAAGTGTAGAGATGGAGATCGGACCCCTCTTGACGGATGTAGGAGTCGGACGGAGTGCAGTCAAAGCAAGGCACTCAAGTTGTGTGGAGCCACTGAACAAGGCAGACTTGTGAACAATTTAAACTTGAGGTACAATATGATGCAATGGGGAGAGGCTGGGATGATCGAGGAGACGGGGAGGCAATCGGCCCGGAGCAATCGCCAAAGATGCCCAGCAAACTGCGTCGTGAAAGGAGGATTATCGCTGACGTGTTGCGTCCGGCTGAAGGCGCTGCGGAGCCCGCATCGAGAACTGAGCAGCTTCACATTCATCTGACTTGTCCAAAACTTTATTTCCTGAGCGGCGTGAAACCGGGAACACCTACAAAAATTTACTCTGAAGTGGGAGGAAACCAGTCACCTACAAAACCACCGGTGGCATTGTGACCTAAAAACCTTCAGCGCCTAGAGAGGCATGGATGCAGACACGATGAAGGATGTGCAGTTTGTGTATCTCATCGGGTTATAAAGGACTGCTACTATATACTCTAAGATAGAACATAAAGAGCGTGAAAACGTGCACATTGAAAACCATGACCTCAGAGTGACTAGGACCGCTAGGCATCGAGCCAAACCCAGCGGCAGAAGTCGTGAAGCCGCCCTCCTGGGCAGATGCACGTGTGGTGCCCAAACCACGGACAAACCGAGGGCACCCAGGTCCCCAGTTGGCTGCTCCACGTAACATATGGAGGGAGATGAGAATGAGAGGCTTCAGGAGACTCAGTCAGTGGCTCGGGAGTCGGAGTGAGGACACCGAGTCGATGTCTGTGAAAGAAAAGAGCTTTAACTCATCGGATTCCTCTAGTATAAATAGATATTCTGATTCTAAGTTGGTGCTGGTGTGTGTGGAACCATTGGAGCTCATGGAGAAGAGGTGGCTCCAGGCTCTCTGGGTTTGTGAACTCTAGTGGGAGCAGCTGGAGGAGGAGCAGTAGAAGGAAAAGGAGGAGCTGTGGAGGCTCTAGATAGGAGCCTCGGCGTGGGGATATGGGCCGCGGTGCTCAATGTCATCGGACGCGCCGGGGCCGAGAGCCGGAGTCGACTCTCGCACCGCCGTGTGAACGGCTCCCAGCGTCTGGTAGAATGCCGCTCCCCTTGGGGCCAAACATCGATCGCCCCGGCTGCTTCACACTGGCAATAATGTCCTTCAATTTCAGCGTGGAGAAGCGCATCTGCAGAATAGTTATGGGAGTGCCACCAACTTCATGGCTGTGACATCCAGTGTCGAATAAGGTAACATCCCTTGGTGTCCTTGTGGACAGCGAACTGACATTCGCCACTCGCATCAGGCGCCTGACTCTAGACGCTGCTTCTACCAGCTTCGACAACTGCGCACAGTCCATCGTGCTCTGTGGAGACTGCCAGGATGCTCGTCCAGGCATTCATCATCTGCCGCATAGACAACTGCAAGAGCATCTTCGGCTCTGCCAGCGCTGTTCGTCTGCGGCCGCTTCAGTTGGTGATACGTGGTGAGCTGCACTGGCTACCTATTAAATACAGGATTGTGTAGAAATTATGCTTAATTGTCTTCAAGAGTCTTCATCAATCTGATCCATCCTATCTTACCAGCTTCAACATACCCAAATCGACTTTGACTACGATCCGCGGCTCTGGGTGACCTGCTGCTGTACCCGCGTGTAAATTGTGTGTGATACGGCCAGCGCAGTTTTGGGATCTCCCGGCCAAAGACGTGGTACACACTGCCAGCTCATGTTCGAGATTCATCCCTGAGTCGGAGCCAGTTCTGCAACAGACTCAAAACAGTGTTTCAGAGAGCCTTCTGCAATGTGTGATTAATGCACATTCGTGATGGACTGGACTCATAAGAGTGGGCAATAACAAACGTTCTTACTCTGATTAGCACGGTTGGCTACGTACGGTGTGAAATAAGTTAAACGTACATATACATACAGGCTTCGAAAAGGATGACGATAACGTCAACATCGCCTCAAGCCCGCTGAGTATAGAGGAGTTGTGTCCTGTGGCAGGGATTGTGGTGAGAGGATTTCCCATCCGCTGTATTGGGGCAAGCCAAAGCAGAGATGTCGAGTACGGGCAGAGGGGTAGAGCGTTTGGCTTGCGATGAAGAGGCTGTGTGTTAACTCAATCCTCTGGCCAATGTGGCCATAGGATTGATTTAACAACTGTAGTCTGGTTTAGAGAATGAGGTCCTGTTATGGAAAAGTGTAGTTTCCACATGTCTTTATAGAGGACGCGAGTGTGACTTCACATGGACTTTGATGTCCCGGTGACTTGATAAGCCACACTACAGGTATGAACCCGTGCAAACAAACCAACTGAGAAGGGGGACCCTCTTGCAAAAGAGAGCCTGCTGCGGCGGTGGTGGTCACTGTACGGGGACCGATGATGGACATTGCTGGAGAGAGATGGCGTTTCGGTGAGTGGCGAACGTCTTGGATGTGGGTTGCTTGTTCGCTTCTAGTTTCCCAGTAGTCATCGGGGCCACTACATATAGTATCGTCGCGGAGTCCCAGCCTTCACACGCACGCTTGCGCCACATTTTAACCCATTTCCTGCGTGACGGCTGGGCATAGGAGGGGGGGGCGGGGGTATGGCAGGGGTGATTGTAGTGGAGGGGGGGTGGTGGTTTTAGCCAAGGGGATTGACCAGTAGCGCCTGGGTCAGCGTGGGGGTCGTGGGGACTAATGGGGTTGAAGGATCGCGAGCCGCTGCTCATCTGCACCTGGGAGACAGATGGTGTGCAGTCGTGCAATGTGCTCCGGTGTATGCAGGCAGCGTGTAGTCTTAGAAATGTTCTTTATTGATGTTGGTCAAATGTAGTGTTGGTGTATTTTTAATGCTTTTGTTGCGCTGTGCTGCGTCTAGAGTAGTGCTTGAGTGCGGGAGTCGCGTGTCCGTGAATTTGGGAGTAAAAACAAACTTGGCTCAACATGAGACCGGTCTCATGCATTTGTGTCGCCGCTCCTATTCACTCCTCACGATGCTTACGCGATAACTTTCTCAAAGCCACGTGGGGGGGAAGTCACCGCCTGGTCCACCCATCTGGGCCAATACTGTCTTCCCACTGGGTGAGAACGTTTCAAACTGGAGCGAGAGTCGCCCTCTGTTTGAGTGGCCCTGGGAGGTGATGCCGCACTGGGTGGGCGGCATGCCTCTTGCATGATGTGCAGAGATTCCGTCAGTGCCTTGCAGTCAACCTTGAGCGTTTGATTCTTAATGCAGGAAGAATCCGAGCGGTAATTTGGTTGTGGAAGTGAGACCATGAACTCTCTAAACTTGACGGTATCAGCCCCCCTTGTCCAGCCTGGGCATTGCTTGTGACAGAGGAATTGAGAAGTTCTCTGCAGGGCATCCACGTGGAGAGCCCCTGGCACAAGGTGTCAAGTGTGGCCTCGGCATTGGCAGTGATTTGGAGTGTGCAGGTCCCGCCGGACGAGGTTGGGATTTATGAATCTGCAGACCAACGCTGGACGCGAGGGATCCTCTCCCCCTCTCTCTCTACCTCTCTCCTCTCTCATCTCCTTTTCTTCTCCTGTTCTCTTCCTCTCTTCTCTTCTTCTCTCTCCTCCACTCTCATCCTCTTCTCTTCTCACACTTTTAATTCGCTCCCACCGGTCGACCACACCTTCCCCGCTTGAAGTGCGGCTCAACACTGAACTGTAGTAGTCTCCCCCGGTTAAATGACATCGGTTGACTACGTATGGTGTGAATAGGGACTCCCGTGGTTTCGACGAACATTACAAATGTGATGAACGCTATGTTTATGTTATGCAGGTGCATTAATGTTTTTAGAAATATTGAGTGTTTCAATGTTACAATAAACTATGTTTTTAGGGTGAAAAAGTTAAACTTCCAATCGTCTTGGAACGGATTAATGCTTTTAACATGTAATTCCTACATTCGGTTTAACAGTTATTTCGGCATTAACAACGTTAAGAGGGACTACTGCACTCTTTTCTTTCACGGCTCTCTCGCCATCACAGACCTCGTCCTGTTTCTTCTCTCCCACCAAATTCGTCGACGAGCTCCAGGCCAGACATTGCACTTGTCGTTACCATGGGAGGTGGCATGAAGTGCTTTTTAATCTCATCGTGTGGCCAGCAGCAGTAACTTCCATGATGACTCTCTTGTGATATAGTGGGGTTACATCAAGTTATTCACTCCTATTAGCTGTGTAAATGAATTTGAAAGTTTTTCCACCTTGTGTGGTTCTGATATCTGCTCTGGCTCAGCATAGACAGGATCACCGCCGGGGCGGCGATGGTGGTAGTGGCTACGCACGTGGCTGCCTGACATCCCACGCTGTAGAGACAGCGGCGAGGGTTGGTGGATCACGTGCATAAGAAGCTACCCTTCCATGTGTAGTGACACCAGACAGTCTTAAACAGTCGGACTTTATTTCTTCAGGCACGAGACACGCGCATCTTCAAAGATTCCCTTTTCTCCAAGTGTCCTGAGGTCTACCACTTCCCTCTCGTATATATCCCTCAAGCCCCTTTTCTCGAAGGTTCCTTGACCAACTTTCCTTCCAGCCAATCGCCTTCCACTTTCCCGCTCTTTCCATTGGTATTTCTCCTCCAGTCCCTTCAAATTCCGTGCCTCTAACCAATCCCATGTCGTGCCCATTAAGTACCAATCAGCGGCCGCCAATTTTTTTGTCCGAACGCGAAATTGTTCCCACCAAATTTGACTCGCCATCGGCGGCTTCTACGGGGGCGCTGTCCCAACGAAAGTGCCTGCCTCCCGTCCGCGAGTTTGTCGCCGCGGAAGGCGACTGGACGGCGTTTTGGTGCCGCATCAAAGCTGCTTGCACCTTGGTCGGGTGGTCCGACGCGGAGGCTCTGCGGGCCCTGCCCATGGCGCGAGATGACGACTCCTTGGTGGCGTTCGAGGCCACCCCCGAGTCGGACCGGGCATGCGCGCAAACGGTCGCCATTTTTGACCCGCCATCCAACGCGTGCCGCAGGGTCGTGCTGTGGAGGGAGGCCTTGACGCCTCTCGCCTTCCGCAGAGCGCGCTGCTGGCCTTAGGCCACATGGCGTACCAGCGCTTGGAGCAGACCGCTGGATTCCCTAGCATTGGAGAGATTGCTGTCGCTGGTCCAGGAATTGGGCGTCACTCTCCCCGTCACAGAGGAGGACGACCTGTCGTCCCTAAAGGTGGCCCCGCTGCTTCGAGGCGCACATCAACTTTCAGCGGCAGCCCGGGGTAGCTGCTTTTGCGGGGGGTCCCGGAGGACGCGTCGGAGCCTGCGCCACTAGAGCCGGAGCGGGCCTGCACGTCGTTCGTCCAAGGCCCACGCGGGAGGAGAGTCGAGGGTCGACAACCGGAGGGGGAGCGGCGGGAGAGGGGGAGGGGGACCCCCTTCCAGCGTGGAGGTCCACGTCCGCCTGCTTCAAATGCGGCCAGCTGGGTCACATCGCCAGGGGATGCCAGAACAGCACCGGATCGCCCTCCTCTCCTTCGACTTCCTTCGACCCACCGACATCCGCTTCCTCAGCCTCACAGGATCTCAGCGCCTGATGCCCGGAGACCCACCGACGGCACCTCCGAGGGATGGACCGGGTGTGGGGGATCGGTTGCCATCTTCTTCCCGGGAGGGGCCGCAGGCCGTTTGTATAGTGTCCCAGCGGTCCCCAGTACGAAAATTCCCATTCCAGATGAGGGCCCGGTGACTTCGTTCCGATGAACCGCTCCCTGTCCTGTCATTCAATTGAGTTCCGACGCCGTCTGGCTGGGTAGCCACAGACACGAGCCGGACTGTGACTACTGGTTGATCTGGGGTCCTTCCCGGTGCCCGTGGGCTGCGGCAAGCCGACGGATGTCAGAAATTGTTCACTTCCTTGGGGTTCGGCTTCATAGTTAAAAGTTCCCGAACTTTAACCCTCCCTGTTAGGTAAATTGCATTAGCACATTGTTGCGAGTTTCCCCTCTTCGTATGTATTATTGTCAGATGAGACGGCTGTTTTTTTTTTCATTGGGGGGGGGGGGGGATGATGTAGTGGCATAGGGGATCTGCGGTATACGGCACTTCTGACGTCAGCAGGCCAGGATATACACGATAGTAGGATCTAGGGGAAATGTCACAGAAGGGGCCCACCAGGAACCCGCTAGTAGGTTTTAGAAAGGGGGAGTGGCCGAGGCTGAGGGAGGCCACGATGACCGTATAAGAGGGGCCCCTGTGGGGGACCTTGGGGCTGTTGTTAGGAGTTGGATCCCCGTCGTCCTGCTGAAGTCTATCGTCACTGTTCTTCTCGTCGTGTTCATCATTCTCGTAGTTTTCACCATTCTCATCTTCGTTACCATCTCGGGGCGCCGCCAGTCAGACAGCTTACCAACTGTTCTACTAAGCGGTGTCGCCGATAATAGACGGACTAAATATTAAAAGTGTTAACCCCTGACGGTGCTTGTTAATTAAAGAAGTGCCTCCAAGTCTTATCATCTCCGTGTTAGTCACTACACAAGGAAGAACATGCAGCAGCAGCAGTATTGGAAAATATTCTTTCAGAAGTGCTTCAACTTTGCTGAAACACGTCTATTCCTGATATTAAGTTGGAATCCGAAAATGTAAACTATAAACCATTTTTATTTTACCAGGTAAGGCCCACTGAGCTATGTAGCTCTTTTTCAGAAGTGTCCTAGCCACGAATGATCACTCAACGAAGTGGCTTATGTGGAAATTTATAGCAGCCAAATACTCTAAAACGCCATTGGAACCTCATTTGCCAGTAAAAAATATGATAATTGGTTTTTTACCCTTCTATCTGGCAACAAAACTGACACCTTTTTTTTACAAGGAGTCATGTTTGCATAGACCACAATACCTGCAGTCATAATGCAAACAAAAAACAACTTGATATGTATGCACTGTCCTTGAAGTTGATTGGTCCACACCCGAGACAGATTTCCTTAGAGCCTCGTCTCACATGGTGTTGGACCAGATGCCAAAAGGCACACTCTCTAAATCGCTCGTTTGTAAATGTGGAGGGAAAACCCGTAGGACCCGGAGAAAAATCCTCGTGACCACGGGGAGAACATGAAAACTACAAATATACAGGCGTCAGGGTCGGGATCAAACCCACCACCTGTATATCAGGCGAGGGAGTTAACATTTCGCCACAGTTGGTAAGCGTACAGCTGGAGCCCGTGGATGTACACTTGATGGATGACTGTATGGTGTGAAAGAAGTTCGACATACGTACTTGCATGCGCTCGTGTGTCTGGTTGTAAGCCAAGCCTCATCACAGGACCAATGGAATACATTTTTGCTCTGGGAGCTTTTAATGGGAATCCTGTGTGATAGGGTTGCCAGCTTTTCCACAGACCAAGCCGAGATGCATTCCTCGTGTGTTTCAAGCAAGACGCACGAGTGTCTGTGTTTACAGGGGGCACTGCTTGTGGCACAGAAGCAGATATCTTGGGCAACCTTGGTACAATACGAACAGCGATGCACAGCAATGCAGGTCAACGCAGTTCCAACAGATTCTGGGACAAACAAAACCCTGCCACATGAACACAAGGCAATTCCAGGATGGGTGGAATGGGTTGTCTGTTCATAAGGCATTGGTAGCGGTGCACAGGTACAAACAACACCACAACTTGACACGTTCCGTGTCAATAATGGCACCGTGTGTAACCTAAACGGGAAAGATTATAAGCGGCACCTTTCAGGCAATGATCCTTAATAGCATAAGCATTGTTGATTGAACAATTGCACACCCCGTGTGAGCAATTATAACTAGAGAGGCGGGTGTGTACATCATTCCTACTGAAGACAGTGGTTAGTGGAGGAAGCATTGGTCTCGTGGAGGTTAGTGGAGGAAGTGGTCTTGTGGAGATCAGTGGCGAGAGCGGTGGTCTGCACGTGGAGGTTGGTGGAGGGAGCGGTGGTCTGCACTTGGAGGTCAGTGGAGAGAGCAGTGGTCTACTTGTGGAGGGAGTTGGTCTACTTGTGAAGGTCAGTCGGGTTTGTGCGAGGTCCGCATCTCTCCGCCGCTACACGCGGATGCGTGCATACACCACTGAGCTGTCCTCCACTGCGGGCATTCTTGGCCTGGCTGCTGAAGCTGCTGCCGCTGCCCCAGGTCCTCCGTGCTGCAGCTCGGAGTAGAGAATCTCCCCGGACTGCGCCTGCGTGCACAGAGCCATGGTGAGGACTCCACGGAGAGTGAGAAGGGAGAGCTCTGCTGCTCACCATGGTGAAACCTATGGCCCGCGCTCCGTGCTAGTCCACTTTTATCTCGCCAATGATGACATTGAACACGCTGCAGCAGTTCACACGCTGATGTGTTCTCTTGTCGCACGATTCCCTGGTTTGAACTTTCTAACAGGAATATAAATACAATGTGGCCTGTCGCTTGGTTACATTTTTGGCGTAACTGATCCAAGGCTGTCGGGCGCTCTTAAGCTTCTGCACGCCCCTGGTGGCTCTTGTGACGTGCGCGGGCAACAACACAACTTGATTGTCAGCTTAGGCTTGGGCTAGCTACTCCGGTGCCTGACTCGGCCTAGCGCTGAGCCCACCCATCTGCTGGTTCTAATGCAACTCGCCTTGGGTGGAGTTCACCAGGCCCTGCTTTCACACATCTGTGGACCTGCCCTGGTGTAGACTGGCCATCGTGCATCCAGGGCAGTAGTGCAACGAGCGTCGTGGCAGGGGGTGCCTTGCCCTCTCCTCCCTCTCCCTGGTGACCAAAGCTATGAGTTAATGACCCCCTTGACAACTACCATACGATTTCGGGAGCTGTAGTGGCTACATTTTGCGGCAGATGGGTGAGCCCCTACAGCGTTAAACGTTCGAGACCATGAGCGTAATGACATGTGAGTAGGGCAAGAGGACCCGTGATTAATAATTGCCTCTAGGGTGCGACCATGCAAAGAGACAAAGCAAATGTTGGGCCCCAGCAGACCGATTGATGCTGATGTCACTACGGCCACTCTCCCAGGGCCTTTTACGCGAGAGCTATGCCCTTGTACCATGGGCTTATTCTGTGTGTGCTGTGCCCGGGCAACTAAATTAAAACCTAAACTTTTTATTTTACCAGGTAAGGCCACTAAGCTAGTCCCTCGATTAACGTGGTCAATCCACGAAAACTAGTGTTAACCGATATAACTGTTAATTGAAAAATAAGTACAAATCACTGCGTCTGGAGGTCGATCTATGTTCCCACCCTCACCTGTGGTCATGAGCTTTGGGTAATGACCGAAAGGATGAGATCATGGGTACAAGTGGCTAAAATTAGGTTTCTCCGCAGGGTTGCCGGGTTCACCGTTATTGGGTGAGGAGCTCGGTGATCTGTGAGAGCCTCAGAGTTGAGCCGCTCCTCCAGATCGAAAGCAACTAGTTGAGGTGGTTCGGGCGCCTGGTAAGGATGCTCCCTGGTAGACTGCCCCTGGAATTCTACCGAGCATGTCCCACTGGGGGAAGACCCCCGGGCCGGCCTAGGACACGCTGGCGGGACTATGTCGCTCGGCTGGCCTGGGAATGCCTGGGAATTCCCCAGGAAGAGCTAGAGTCTGTCGCCAAGGAAAGGGAGGTCTGGACCGCCCTAGTTGACACGCTGCCGCCACAACCCTCACCAGGACAAGCGGTTTGAGAAATGAACGAACGGCCTGTTTCCACTGTTAACAAAGCCAGTCGCGATCTTAACCGCTCATAAATCGGCATCGCTGATTGGCTGAGGGCATGGCTCAATCCCACTTGCGAGCGCTCGAATTGGCCGAAATTGACGCCCGCGTGCATTATGTGAACATAGCGTTAGTCGGAATGTTAACGTTAGTCGAAACCATGGGTCCTATGGGAGGCGAAATGTTAACCACAAAAACGGTGAACCGATGTTGCCATTAACCGAAGGGCTACTGTCGCTCCTGGCCACAAATGATGACTCAAGCGCCTTATCATAACGTGTAAATTTATAGCAACCAAATACTCTAAACGCAGGTTTCTAAATGTGGAAGGAAAATAACGGAGGACCCAGAGGAAAATCCACACAGCCACAGGGGAAAACATGCCAACTCCAAATATAGAGGAGCAGGCATCAGGGTCGGGATCGAACCCACGACCTGCATAACCAATCGAGGGAGTTAACACCTAGCCGCCGTGGCACCAAGAGCCAGTCTGGCGCTGGGCTCCTGGGCAATATATGGGTTGACCATACTCAGGTTACCCAAGTTCACATCTGGGCTCGCGTTCACGGCTGCACTCGGCACGAGAAGCGACGACCCTATCGCGTAATGTGACCAATGTGTATACGCGGCAGTGGATCCCGCTGTGTGACCATCTCTCAGCCCCTTCTCCGTGCCTGGGGACCCGTGGCACTGGGGCTGCTCCTGGGCCAGTCCTGGTTACTGGGCCGGTCAAGTACGGCTCACTTTGGCAGTGGAAACGTGGCCCTTGTCAGGACCCGGCTTTAGCACGGCTCCCAGTGGCAGTGGAAACGTGGGCCTCATCAGAACCCGGCTCTCGCTGTGGGAGGAGGGGAATTGCGACTGCACCTGATCCGCGGGGATCTCTCCTGCTCCTCGTTCCTCACCTCCCTGCGTGGCTCGACTGTGCCTGGGGGAACAAATGCAGTGACGAAGGAGATGTGTCACGTGATGTTGCAACGGACGCGGATTGTAAATGTAAGAAGTTTACCGGAGTGAAAATGTTTTCTAAACATTTTATTTTATTTTACAAGGTAATACACACTGAGCTACAGTATGTCGCTCTTTTTCAGAAGAGACCTGGCCACAAATGATAGCTCAACGAAGTGGCTTATCACGTAGAAATGTATTGCGAAATACTCTAAACACACGTTTCAACTTCTATATATACAGCAGGCGGCAGGGTCGGGATGGAACCCAACGAGCTTCTGTATTCCTGGTGAGGTAGTTAACATCTCCTAGCCACTGTGTCGAGATATTTCATGCAAGCACCGAGTGACCGGTGGGCTGAATTTCTGGGCTTATGGACCGAGCGATGTCTGCTATTACCAATTTTTTTAGGCAGCAAATGGTGGCAGGGCTCCCGCACCCCCCCCCCCCCCCCCCGTGTTGTGGCTGAGGCCACGGGAGCCCTGGAATGTGCCGCACTCCACTCCCTCACGTGGGGTCCGCCCAAGGGCGCAGTGACGTCACACGGGCAAGCAGCAGAGCGTGGAAGTTGAAGCATTGGCAGCAAGTTTCTGAAATGCCCCACTCACCTATTCACCCATTCACCTTACACATCCACCGCCTCTTCCCACTCGGCAGTGGTGATAATGGGTCAACTGGCAAGTCACACTACGTGTGGTGGGGTGTAACGTGGGTACATCCACCTGGTCTGTGGAAAAGCGCTTCCTCAGGTGACAATTGAATGGGAAATGGCTATCGCTGCAGAACACGATGTCCATTATTATGGAGACTCGACACGAAGTCGAATACGCCATTTGCCTCCTTCACACATCAGTCCCTCTGCATAAGGGGCCTGTCCATGAACGACGTCACGCGATTTTGGACGATTTTTGACCCCCCCCCCCCCCCTCGTCACACGGCGTCACAAAAAGTCAGACCCCCTCTCAAATATGACGTCACAAAGCTCTGCCCCCCTCCCGCAAAACCATATTTCCATTTTGGAAATAAAACACGCTTCAAATCGCTTTAAACTGTTGTCATTGTAGTGCGTATTTAATGTGGCGCTGCACTCTGATGTTGTAGGAGTGTTGTTATAACAATTAGTGTTGTCACGACGTTTCGGGCGCAACACAAGCACCCGAAACGTCGTGATTTATTTTATATCTGCGTGACATTACCGAAAGAACCAAAGAGTATTGATTCCTGCAGTCACAAAAGCTTCAAATCAAGATTGAATTAGTGTTGTTATAACAATTCTATATTTATTTAAAGTTGCGCATTTTGATGTGATGTCACATTTCTAAACCCCCCCTCCTCCTCGTCACACATCGTCATAAATGTCTGACCCCCCCCCCCCTATAGGTACGTGACGTAATTATGGACGGCCCCTAAAACATAAATATATGTGCTTGTACACATTCCATTAGCCACACGGTCTTCTGAGATTTGACTATTTCAGCAGCATTGGTTCAAGACTCGCAAAACCGTGGACAGGTTTCGACAAACTATTAAAGATCTATATTTTTATTGGACCAGGTAAGGCCCACCGATCTGCTCTAAAGATTCCTTTTTCAGAAGCCACCTGGCCACAAATGATCGCTCAACGAAGTGGACTCATCATGTGGACATTTATAGCAGCCAACTACTTTAAGCCAAATACATCCAGCGTCTCATCAGCAGAGTCAGGGCCCGTTTGAAGCGATGATGTCGAACTTCCAGATGTGTGTAGGCAAGGAAGGACTGGTTTTGACATTCAGTGCGGGATCCATCTCGGTAGCGGTATCTGTCCGTTTAAATGTAGAAGTGCCATAACCTGCCTCGCAGGGAGAAGGCAGTGCAACAAAGTGTTGACTAATCTCCATCTGTTTTCAACTGTATGGGTATAGAGTTTATTCCCACACTGATCATTAATTGGATATTAGGAAGCCACTTTTAAATCATCTACATTGAAAACGAATTTCTTGAAAACTGCTTGTGTTTAGTTTGTTGTCCTTTGCCCGCACCTCCTATTAGCACGGTTTGATATGTATGGTGCGAAATAAGTTCAACATACAAAAACCCAATGTGTGCAGGACCCTCATAAAAATAGTGCGTTTCTCCCCGGGTTTAATAAGCACACAATTCATTATTATTCTTCCTTGTGGCTGCGTGGTTATAAGTTGGTGTCCACTCTGTTCTGAATGGCCACAGTCGCACCACACAGGAGAGGTTTATTTTTCACATTTCCATTTGTGCATCGGCATCTACTGCCAAGGTTTGTAGTGGATGCGGTTTAGAGTGGACCGTGAGCATCTGGCTGTGGCCTGATGATGCTGGTTGTAATTGCCGATTAAACGTCACGGTACTCGATTTGTAAACGTTGAAGTGGGTTTACTCTCCAACACACATCCGGTGAGTGCTGAACTAGTAACTAATGTCCACGCTTTGTTGACGTGACAACCTTACTAATTGGCGGTGTCGAGTGGTGGCGGGTTTAACGATCTAACCTGAAAACAAAAACCTCTAGTATGGATAATATTGATCGCAAAAGCTTCCTACGTGTTAAACCACGAGTTTCGTTGAAGATCAAATCTGGGATCTTCTGGAAGACAAATCTGAAATCTTCTGGAAGACAAATCTGGAATCTTCTGGAAGAACAAATCTGGGATCTTCTGGAAGACAAATCTGGAATCTTCCGGAAGATCAAAGTTGTGTTCTTCTGGAATATCAAACCCGGGAATCTTCTGATTGGACAATCTGTGGCAGGTGCCGAGGGGGGGGGGGGGAGCTCCTGACGCGGCTGGTTCCCGTGGAGTTGCCTCGGACGCCCGCGGCTCACAGGGGCCGTGAGGAATGTAGCCCCCCCTCCACCACCACCCAGCCACCCCCACCACCACCCAGCCACCCCCATGTGGTCGCTCACTCATCCCGGCCTCACGACCCCGCGGCCACCCTCTCCCTCTCAGCATCTCCCTCTCAGTCTCTCTCCCTTTTTTTACGATCAGAGGAAATAAGAAGATGCTCGGTGTAGTCGGCACTTTGCCTCGTTCATCATTTCGTTTTTTTATGCTTTGCTTTATGTAAACCGCCCCCCCCTCTATGCCCCCCTCTCTCTTTACCCCCTCTCGCTCTCTTTTTACGACAAGTGCTGCATCTGCACGCAGTCCTTCTCGCAGTCCAACGGCCTCCGACGGGTAGCTAATATCTGGATGCAGAGCTCTCCGTCTTCTGCCACCGAGCACACGGCCTCCTCTAGTGCCCACTGCTCCTTGAAGGCCGGCACGGCTTGGGTCAGCCGCGCATGGCGGAACTCCAGCCACACCCTGGCTCCGACCAGAGCGTGGAAGATGCGCAGGCTGCTGGCTGGACGTTTCCCCCCCACGGCCACCTTCCTTGCTCTGTATACGGCGAGCTTGGCGTAGCCGACGAGCACGTTGACCAGCCCCTGAAGATGTTGGGATCCATCGCTCTTTGGGTATCCAAAGATGAGGACTGTCGGGGAGAAGTGGAGGCTGACCTTTAGGAGGATGTTTCTCAGGACCTTGAACAGTGAGTCCAGGCTCCTGCACTCCAGGTATTGGTGCGCCACCGTCTCCACTTTACCGCAGAACCGGCACTCCGGGGACGTGTCGGTGAAGCGCGCTAGGAAGGCGTTGGTGGCGACGGTGCCGTGGGCGATGCTCCAGCTGAGGTCGCCGATGCGGTTGTATGTCGGGCTGGAGTAGAGTTGCCTTCAGCGAGGTCTCTCCGGAGAGATGCAGAGCAGGGCTTTCCTCCAGGCATGGTCCTTGTGGCTCCTCAGGGTGTCCTGTTGGTGAAACCGGACCATGTAGGAGTAGAGCATCTTCCAATTTACATTTGCGAAGGCCACCTCCGGTAGGTCTTCCAGCCGGCACAGGTTGTGATCTGCCTTCGTTTGTCGGCATTGGCGATGCAGCGGCACGACGGAGAGCTCCGGTGGAGGGGGTACCGAGATAGGCCTCGTCATCCACAATGCCGATGGGGGGCGTTCTCCCCGCTGCCGCTGAGAAGGCCCCCTTGGCTTCGGCCAGGATCCGGGACAGCTATCCGGAGCGACTGCAGCCCTGTCTTTGCGGCCATATCTACTGGTCCGAGCCACCGGCCCCGTGTTCCAGGCTCCACGAGATCTCCCATCCTGGTGAACCGCGCATTGGCGAGGCGCCTCTCCATGCCGGGGGAGGCGGTGGTGGATGGCAGCTTTGTCTGTGGGTTCCTGAGGATCGGTTCGAAGACCAGATCCTCGACCGATCGCGGCTGGTTCAGCCTCCTGACGGCGAGGGAGCTTCCACGTCTGCAGGACGCTCCTGTAGAAAGGTAGCAGCTGTCTCAGTGGGAGGCCCTGCAGGTCCATGTAGAATAGTTGTTTGGAGCACTGCAGACCCCCCAGCTGTTTCAGGAGGAAGGAGGCCGTGACACTCCAGGCTGGTGCAGGGACAGCGTGCAGGAACTTTTGAGCGGCCTGCAGTCGGAAGGTGGCCAGCTGACTCCGCACGCACACCAGCCCGTGACCGCCCTCGTCCAGTGGCAGGGCCAGGACCCCAGCGGCGACCCGGTGTCCTCCGCCCGACCAGAAGAAGTCGAGGACTCGCTTCTGAAGCGCTTTGACGAGGCTCATGGGGGGTGCAGGGAGAAGAGTCGGTGCCACAGCATCCCTCAGTCTCTCTCCCTCAGCCTCTCTCCCTCAGCCTCTCCCCCTCAGCCTCTCCCCCTCAGCCTCTCCCCCTCACCTCTCCCTCTCAGTCTCTCCCCCTCAGTCTCTCCCCCTCAGCCTCTCCCCCTCAGCCCCTCCCCCTCAGCCCCTCCCCCTCACCTCTCCCCCTCAGCCTCTCCCCCTCACCTCTCCCCCTCACCTCTCCCCCTCAGCCTCTCCCCCTCGGCCTCTCCCCCTCGGCCTCTCTCCCTCAGCCTCTCCCCCTCAGCATCTCCCCCTCAGCCTCTCCCCCTCACCTCTCCCCCTCACCT